GCAGTCAGCAGAAGTAGCCCGCAGTACTGTATTCTGACCACTGAGCCACCAATGACTCATACTTAAGCATCTTTGGATGTTTAGCAACATATATTTTACCAGTAATTATATCTTGTTTTATTTTTATATTTTGCCACCACAAAAAAAATACATCATAAATATATTTTCTCCTTTTCTATGTTTTAGTGTTTAATCAAGATCCAGATATGATTCGGGATGGATCAACAATTCCAATTGCCAGAGTGTTCCAGAATATAACAAGGAAGAGTGTGATGATGCTTCCAATTGGTGCAATGGATGATGGGGAACATTCCCAGAAAGAGAAAATAAGCAGGTTCAAAAATTTTAATTAATTACATATGTTAGCATAAAGGAATTTGCTTCATTTCCTCATTTATAATTCAGTCAATGGTGAGGATGATTGTGGAAGGAGATCATCATTTCTCTGTCCTCCATTTTTGCATGTATTAGTACCTGTCTCATTTCATAATTTATAGAGGTCTTAGCTTATTTACAAACTTGATTCATGTTTTGTGTTAAGTTAGTACTTGTTTTAACTACGATGTGTTTTGATGAATGATTTAATCTCTTTGAGATATAAGCTTAAGCAAAAAACTATTATTTACTAAAGAAAATATGTAGGTTCAAACATCAAACTCAGCCTACAGCCTAGCTGTTTAGAACTTCAAAGCAACAAAACACCTTTAACTTTTTGATTGCTTGACAATTGTTTTTCTTTCCTTTCTTTCATGATCAGATTTAACTATATCAATGGAACGAAGATGTTTGCCTCCTTTTTACTGGAGATTTCAAAACTTCAGGCTTCCAAGTGGAAACAGTGATGATGGCCCATAAAACTACAGTCCTATTGTTTTCATTTATGTCTTATGCACGGCTGCAGTTCCCAATGCATATGGTGATGCTGTATGAATTCTTCCAGAAATATATTTTCAGACTTACATATTCTTATGACACGTAGCTAAGTATTTCTTTCTCATTTGCTTTTTGTCCCTTAAATGCAGGGATGGGTTTCAACCGGTTCGCGGTGGTCCCTGTGAACCGGTTGGTCGGCGAACCCGGAAGTAAGTAATTTCCGGGAACGGCAAAGGGCCTGCCCGCCCGCCTGCGCTGCTTACCCAGTTTTGACGAGTTCTGCGCTTCCACGCATGCGCAGGACGCATACAGCGCCTGTGCGATCCTCCAGGAGCAGCTGGAGCATCGCACAGACGCTAGTACGTATGCGTGCACTGCGCGCGTGTACGAGGACGCCGCCGGCCCCGTTCCAACCGAACCAGTTGGAACAGGGCGAGAAACCCACCCCTGCTTAAATGTATGTATTTCAGTAAGAGAAAGGCTGGATTCACACATTATATTATTTGTTGAACAAGCCAATGAGTGAGTTCATATAAACCCAGGAATGGGCACCTTGCAAGCTATATATAGTGCCTTGTGTGATCCATAAGCATCCACCAAAATTTGTGGCAAGATGGTAGAAAAATTAGCAGCAATTTTTAAAAATTTAAAATGACAAATAATGTTTGGAATGGGATCACAAAGATTCTAGCAGATGAAACAGCTAGTTCGGTGACCATATGCCCAAGTGTTCTGATGCTCAGTTCTCTATTTGTATTTTTAAAAACATTTATGAATTTAGCACCATGGCAAGGCTAAATCACGGTGCATATAAATATTATCAATATTATTCAATATTCAGAGTACTGTTTTGCTAGCACATTTATCTCCCATGTGGAGAGTACAAGTATTCTCAAGTACAATAGCTTATTAGAGTCTATCTGAAGTGATCTATTAGATTATATCCATTGCATTTATTTATTTGAACTCAATTGTTTTCTAACCAATATCGCTACAATAATAGATTTTAATTCTGTCACAATATTGTGTTGAACTGTACCAAAAGTTATGTCAGCAATACCAGTGAAATGGCTTCCTTGCTTATGGTAAACACTAAGTCATTTTATGAGAGCAGTGATCACATGGTTAGGATACTGGGTTGATGATCAGCAAGCCCATGTTCGAGACCCAAATGCTGCTGTTTGGTGGGGTGAGATCCCATCATTTGCTCCAGCTCCTGCCAATCTAATAGTTCGAAGTGAGCAATTGTGAGTTGATAGATAGGTACCACTTTGGTGGACATATTAGGAGCCCCTAACTGGGCATTCTGCAGGCAAAGCTAATCACCAGTTAATCACAAGTGGTCATTGGCTAATCATTTCAATCTGGGAGCAGGGAGCATGCAGCATGAATACAATGAAAAGCCATTTTAAGAACTTTGGAGTAGCTTTGAAAGGTCATTATAACATTGATTTTGTTTTTAAAAAGGTAAACCAAAAAGCATCGCACCTGAGCAAATATCTTTAATAAGCCAAGCGGAATGTTACAAAATTGTATGCAAACATCTGAGCTAATTGAGAATTCCATTATGTAAGAGAGCTGACCTGATATTTTTCTGGATTTCATTTTACATTTTTCTGGATTTCATTTTAAAACTTTTTTAGCATATAAAATCATTTTGTGCTTCAGCAATATACATATATGCAGTTTTCTTTGTCATGTTTTTATTTTGTTGCTTGCTAAGGTAGGTTATTTTTTTATTTAAAAAACCTGAACATACACTTTTTAGTAATCTTTACAAACCTTACACACTTCTAAAAAATTAATAGATGCTAGAATTGTAAAAAAAGGACCAATCAACAGTGACAATATGATTCGTATTTGTATTTTAGAAGACCTATGCAAATTCCAATACAGTCTGCTAGAGATTAGAAACTGATCTCAACGTTTGGACCAAAGAGATCCTGGCACCACTGAGATAGTTATGTTTCAAAATAATTTCTCATTTGCCTGGGATGGTTATTATATTTTGGGGTTTTAATTTACAATAATTATGGGTATGTAAGTGACTGAAAAATAGGCAGTGGCTTGCAGTTTCCAAGTTCTTGGTATAAGAAGTTGGGATTGGTATATTCAGTTTTGCTTTTGCCTAAATAAAGAGATAATATATTTTGATATTTACTGTCAAAAAGGAATTGTCTAATGCTAATTTATGTTTAATTTTAAAGCACACGTTTTTGTAAAGTATTTACAAAATTAAAGATGAAAGTAATTTTAATTATTTTTTTTCAGCAGTTATTCCGTATATGTGTTTTATGGTATAATACTGTCTCTTTCCTTCAGAACTTAATCAGTTCCTTTACGTGGTACCTTCTTTTTGAATAGTCCCCAAACAATATGAACTGAAACACATTTAGATACATCAGATTAGGGGGGGAAATTGTTCAATAGTATTTGCAAGAGTTTGTTGGCACTTTTATATTTGTCTTTCGGGATTTTAGTACTTAGAATATTATCTGTTGACTGGTACAAAATGAAATATACCGCATCTGGGGTTTTCATTTTGAACATGGAATGCAGGAAAATAATCAAAAGTAGAGGTAGCCCTTGACTTATGCCCCTTTTGTTCAATGACAGCTCAATGGAAATATTAATGCCTTGGAAATGGTACTTTATGGCCCATAAACTATCTCTAGCGATTGTCCCGTGATCATATGATTGTAATCTGAGTGTTTGGCAAGTGGTTAGCTCTTACGATCAGTTGCCAAGGCCTAAGCACCTTCTGATCACATGATCGCCATTTGTAATCTTCTCTGCCATCTACTTTAGAAATACAATGGGGATGCTGGCAGAAAAAGTTGCAAGCTGCTTTTGCCTGTTGAGAGGACTGCATTTCATTTCTGGGGGCTGGCTGGAAAACCAGCCCCCAGAAATGCCAAGGGAAGATCAGCTCTTTTGGTGGGGTGCAGAAATCAATCAGAATAGATGTGGAAGGCACCTTGGAGGTCTGCTAGTCCAACCCCCTGTTCAGGAGACCCTATATCATTTCAGACAAGTGGCTGTCCAGTCTCTTCTTAAAANTGTTGCTATAGTTACTTTTTAAATGCTTTAAAAGTTTTGTTGCTTGATTCCAGAAGTAGAGAATTAGAATTTTATATCTTTTTTATTGACCAAGAACTATACTTACAGCAGAAAATGCTGCCCCCCCCCCCATGATGAGGTAGCAATGGAACAAAATCATGTAATAATTGGTCTCCTCCCCATGAGGCTAACTAAAATCAACCCCAAGCTCATGTTAATAAGACTACTATAAACAAATGGACATATAGCATATTAAAATTATATTAGGTTGTAGATATATAGGTAGTCCTGGACATTATCACAATTGAGGTCAAATTTTCCATTGCTAAGCAAGACAGTTAAATTTTTGCCCCTCTTTATGACCTTTCTTGCCACAGTTAAAAGTGTCACTGCAGTTAGTAACGGTTATTAAGTGAATCTTGCTTCCCCAGTGACTTTGTCAGGTCACTAAAGGCAATCATATGGCCCTAGGATATTGCAACTCTCATAAATACATTCCAGTTGCTAAGCATCTGACTTTTGAACACATGACCATGGGGATGCTACAATGGTTATAAGTGTGAAAAAGTTATAAGGTGCTTTTTAAAGTGCTGTTGTAATTTCAAACGGTCACTTAACAAACAGTTGTAAGTCAAGGACTACCTGTATACTAGAATTATGCTTTCAATACAACACAGAATAAACTAATATAATTTCAGCTCATAAATGAATTAAATAGCAAATTACCTTCACATTATATGTGAATAAATATCCTGAGAATATGTAATCCCACCTACGTTCTGTAGCACAATCAGTTGCTATATCTGTTGTATCAGAGACTCTGTATATGAAACCTTTTTCCTCACTGATACCAAATTCATAATTTATGCACATAGTAATATGTTTTGAAAAATGTCCACAGTGCTAGATTGCCAGAATGCCTCATGCTATTTGCTTCTAAATTAAGCTGATATTTGCTATTAACTTTGCAATTAGCTAATTTAAATGAATAAACTGAATTGAGATACAGTCATGTCAAAAGGAACTCTTTTGAGTTCCATGGTTTTACATAGCAGGACAGAATCAAAATCACCTGGTCCTTAGCAGTTCTTAAAAGTAGGTAAATACAACCACAGATGAACAACTCATGACACGTTACACCATGACATCATTTATTTTACAAAAAGAAAGGCAAAATGGAAGAAGCCGTGTGCTTCTAAGTACACCTTATGATCAATAGTTCAATAGCTTTGCTGGCTGGGGAATTCTGGGAGTTGAAGTCCGCCAGGATTAAAGTTGCCAAGGTTGGAGACCTCTGCTTTTAAACGTTCCGTTTAAAAAGAAAAACCCACACACAAAGTCGCACACCTCCTCACGCGGCTGTTACCACGGTTAACTGTCACGACGTTTCCGGTTTTCCCGCCCACCCCTGTCGTGGGACGTGACGTAGGATGTTCCGACAGTGACGTCTGACGGCGATTCTACGGCACGCCACTTGTGACCAAGATCATCACAAGCGGAGGAAGACGGCTTCCCCCCCTCTGGTAAGCAGAGACCAACGGTTGGCGGTTACCGCGCGTCGCAGGAAGGCCTCCGCCTGCGACTATTATAGGAGTCAATCTGTGGGTCAGATGGTTTTCTCAGACTTTCACCGGACCTTTTTCGTTTCCGTAGGGCTTTTTGGGCCTTTCTGCTGCCGTCGTTTCCCCCCACCCCCCTTCCTCCTCTCAGTTAATGGGCTGGAAGATTAAAAAAAATGCAAGTTTTTGGCCAATCAGTACCCGTTACCGCAACCCGAGGTTGATGAACCAATTTCTGAGTGGTTGGGCGAGGAGGGCGGGAATATAAATGCACGTAGCGATTGGCTAAGGCGCCAAGATTTCTTGCCCGTATTTTAAGGGTGTGTGTGTTGGGGGGGGGGAGAGTTCATCTCTCGAGTGCGCATGCGAGGGAATCATCACGGCTTCTGTCAGTCGTACTGCGCAGGTGTTAGGAGCGACGGCTGTTGCTCAGAAGTGCGGAAGGGAAGCACAGAGAAGCTTTTGGAGAGTTTTGATATTGTAGTTCACTGAGACCTGACGGTGCCTTGCGCGACAACGTTTGTTGTGCCCAGGCGGCTTTGTCCGTTGGTCTATTAGAGATAGACTGCAAAAATCTGGACCGCAAAAACCGAGTCGACC